GATTAAAATATTCATGTTATTATTTTCCCTCATTGTGTTGTTTAATAATCTTAATGTAATTAGATGTGTTTTTAAAAGCTACTTAAACCTAAAGTTAAAAATTACTCGAAGTTACATAATTTATGGTAGAGATATAATTTTATTCTGGACATTTTATTAATTATAATAAATTATTCAGTGCTTACCCTTCTAAAGTAAGTGAATATATCCATATAATCTTGTGAGTATTTGTTTATATATGTGCATAAACCTTTTCACAAGATAATTAACCTTATCTATTGTCAACATTTTTTCTGGATACTCATTAAGTATCATATGTGTTCTCATGCTTAATTTAGTTATGAATAATTAAAATTAAAATATTAACTCGTAAATTTTACATTAAAAAATCTATCATTAAATACATCTTCTGAATATATAAATTTACATTGACAAGATAAAAATATTTAAGAGCTATTTAGTTTTAAAACAAATATTTTCATTTGGATTTACACAAAGATATTAAAAATAAGACAAAGCAATAAAAAATTTAAAATTTAGCTTGAAAACTATTTACAAAACTTATATCTGATTGCATTATTCATCTCAAAACTATCATTTCTCTTATGTTTTATAAAAAATATTTTTTTAAATCTTTAAAATAAAAAAAAATATATCAGTCTTCAACAAATCCAAATAAACTACGTATGAACATATTTAAAGAGACATATTACATACCCCAAACAATAAAATTATTTTACCCAATTTATTTCATTTGGGTGATTATTGACATAACAAGTTAGCAGATTCATGGTTTGGGTAATGTTTGTTGGTATTTTCTGCATCATGATTTATATATTCGCTGTGCAGAAGCACGCTTTCCAAACAAAATATGAAGAATAGACATTCAGTATTTTAATATGTTATCTGCCATTGTTTTCAAATAATTCATCATATTCGCACGAGTACGACAAAGTACGAAAAGAATCTCTCCCTTCACAACACTCAGATTATTATCAAGAAAAGAAAACTGAAAATGAAATCATACCTTGGAACCAATCTGGACCCTTGAATCTCATACAAATATCACGGCTTAGCCGTTGATTTGATTCTGCTGTCTCCCTCATGGAGCCAGCTTTTGCAACTTGCCATTATTTTCACTTCCGTTTTCTCCAATTATTTTATTTTTAGTTTCATTCCACACCGTTGGTTTCTCACCCTCTTTCTTTTCCCCAACCCAAATTTTAGATTTTTTTAATATATTTCTTTTAGTGTTTTTAGTGCTCGTGAATAATATAAAAATAATCACCATGGAATTAGATAAGAGGTGTAAGATTTCTTAATGAAGATATTGGTCGCTTACTAAATAATTAGAACCCTATTGTATACAATGCGGTCTTTAGTGGTAATCATCATAAAATCTTAATTAGCGATTGACAAACTAATCCACATGTCCAAATTCATTACTTGGATTACTCAAATATCTATGTTGTCACTTTGATTTCATGAACTTGAACATTTGTTTTGCCTTATTTTCCTAGTCAATGGATTGTGGAGTAAGGTGATGGATACAATTTATATTTTGTTACAATTGTGCAGATTTGTATCATGAGGTTATGTTTTGGCGAGAATATGCTTGCAAAGAGTAATTTAGACGCTGAAATTTTTTATTTTGGTCATCGATAGTATATATCACAAGAATTCTAAGAAATTACTTGTATACTTGATTATAAATTTAGTCTTGCATAAACAATGGATAAAATTAAATAACTGTAATTAATTTTAACCATTTATATGTTATTGAAGTTAATTTTTTTTATTCATCACTTAATTGTCACATAATTGCATGTATTTATGTGTTTTTGAGTGATTTATTTAAATTTTTATTCTGAATATAGTTTTTCAAAAGTAATTGTTTATCAAATTTTAAAATTTTCTAAACAAAATTATATTGACTGGTCTTTACATACAACTACAGCAAAATGATAATATATTTAATTTTAAAGAATAAAAAAATGTGTTATCAAAACATTCCTTTAAGCCTACTTTTAAAAATAATATTTTAGTGAATTAATATTTAAATATATAAAAATATATTAGTAATATTTTGTTACCTGAAAAAGACAGACCTATTTGTCTTATGCAAGGGAGAAGCTACCTGGCTGGCAAAGAAACTTAGAAGTATGATGAATATTTTATCTTCGTTAACTTGTAAACTAACTTTGAAAAAAATGTACTATTAAAAATAGATAATTTTTTTATATATTTAAGATATGTTTTTGAAATTCACATATTAGAAAAATAAGCACAAAATAGAAATAGTGATTTATAATATTATATATAAATGGTATTAATTTGTGGTAATTTAAATAATAATTTTGATTTTTATGCTGTAAATGATATCATTTATCAACAAATAAAATTTATAAAATTTTACAACAATTTTCTAAAAAAATTTATTAATATAAATTTTAAAGATTTATACTAACAAATAGTAAATTATATTAACATTTAACTAAATGATAATATATATTAATAAATTTAGAATATTTATATTCATGATTTGATTTTTTTTAAAAGTATACTAACTAAAATTAATCTAACGTTAAATTACTAATAAATAATTTTTTATGCTGTTATTTTTAACATGAAAATATAAAATGGTATTTAATATACAACATTCCAGTGGTTTGTCACGTCTCCAAAAATGGACAAATGGTTCAACTTCAACAACTATCATCACCTAGTAAAATGCCAAATTAGCTTGCGTAAGCTCAGAATCAAGTGAAAGTGTTAGTAAAAATTTTAAAATAAATTTTCAATTGAAAATAGCTTGTTTCAATCAAATAATAATAATAATAATAATAAACGTTTCTCTGAAACTTGTTTTAGTAGCTTGAAGGAAATAGAATCAGCGACGTGGTCTCTAATAAGTAATACAAATATCATGAAGGAACGATTCTTTAGTTGATGTCGGTGATCTTGGGATTTCCAAATTATTAAGAATTAACATGTTCAGTTTAAGGTCTAATTAAATCAATCAAATCTTTACTTTAAAACTACAAAAAATGAAAATATTAGCACATTCATAATTCATGTGCCACAACTTAAACATTAAGTTAACTTTAAGAATAATGTATCTTATTATATTTATCATTGAATTGTATTTATAAGCTGGGATTATAAAATCCTACTCTTCAAATCGATTTTCCGAGAATTATTACATGAGATTTTTTGTTTATATATATATAACTACTAATTAAGTAAATATACTTTTAAAAACATAATGTTTACAATAAATTTTATTATTTAAATTACAAAACTCAATACCGTTGCGATATCATGTATTGTTATTTTTGTCTTTCATTCATTTTTTAAAACTTTCTTTTATACAGTCATGCTAAAAATATACCTTACATTTAAAAAGACAACTTTAGGTGTTCTTTTAGTGTTTCAAAACAATATTTATACATTTTAAACGCATTAGGAACAACTGTCATTTAATATTAAAGATAAATTTGTTAAGACTTGAAAACAATTAAATTATATTGAATATTCTCTAACTCTAAAAATGTTTCTTTTTATAAAAATTAACTTACTTTATATGAATGGATTTTATAGAATCAACACACGCTTTCACATATTCCATTATTTAGTAGTATTTGGAATGACTCTTTTTACCCCTTCTATGTTGAAGTAAAGATTCATTAGAAAATTGGCATGCCAAGTCTATGTGCTTACCTTATCTTTGTAGCTTCATTTTGGTATTCTATTTAAAGAGAAAAAAAATCACATTTATGATAATAAAATTGTAAATTTGTTTCTAGATCTGTAAAATTTCCATTATGCTATAAAACTAAATAAAATTAAAAGAAATGGTACCTCGGTTTTTTAAAGAAAGTATCAAGGTAAGAAACTGACTTTTCATGAAATGGTAAGATATACAAAATTAAAAAAAGTACCTTTAACGTTAATTTAAATAAAAATATTTTATAATAAGATATTATTCCTAAGTTTTCAGGTATGAATAAAATAATTGAAAGTGAAGATGTATGGGTAGAGAACAAACCTCTGCATTATGAAGAAGAGGACAAAGAAGAAAATGTTCGTAATGTGTGGACGGTAAGGATACGTGTCAGTTGCTAAGGTCATTAGAAAGGAAGGGTGGGTGATGAATCACGGTATTTTCACGACCTTTTCGCAAATTTCTCGCCGAAAGTAAAAGCAATTGTCGACACGTGTCAGTTTCTTAACGGTCAGATCGGATCCCGTGAATTTAGCCGCGTTGGACTGAAAGTTCCCCTCTACTAGTTTCTACTTTTTTTCGTCACAATACAAATAACCCCAAATTAATATATTTAATGATATTAATTACAAGATTTGTTTAAGATATTTTTTAGGTAATTAAGTTATATTAATCGAGTTTAATTTTTCGTTAATGATGAATTATCAATGTAAATTATTACATCACTTAATTTCTTTTATTCACATTAAAGCTAAAAAATTTATTTAGCACAAGTTTCACATGATTTAAACCTTTTCGTGCATGCAAGTCATATTCACAAATTTGATAAAATTAAAAGGAGAAGGTATGAGATAGTACCTTAATTAAACCTTTTTAGATGGATTAAACGGTTTAATTTAAACCTTGATAATGCTAATCACAAAAATCCTATTACTGCGGATGAATCATTATAAAAGTGGGTACGAAAAGTGGAAATTCAATATCACATACAGTGGAATTCAAATGCATATCCTCTCAACCAATCACATCCCTTCATACAAATTTTCTATTAATCAACGGTGGAAAAAAGAAAGAGAAGAAATAATCAGAGTAAATAGGGCCCCACAAAAAGACCGGTAACCTGATGCAGCTGTATTGCACGATGGCGGTTCGCATGCAATAGTGGGACCAGTGGTACCGCAACAACGGGTCAGCAACAACTGATATTTTTCTCGCTCTTCTCACACGTTTTGCCTTTCCCTATATACATCACACCCTTCCCCATTTGCCCCTCTTCATAGAATAACTGAAGCCTCTTGCGCTTCGCCTCCGCCGCCACCCGTGTCGGAAAACACTCGCCGACGTTTCAGTTCACCGGGAAGTAAAACGCAACCGCATCAACTGTTTATAGGTAGGTTCATATGTATTAGTATCGTAGCACACTCTTCCATTCTCTTGGATCCTGTTCGCCGATCCGGTTTTCATGGAAATTATTATCATTATGTTGTTAATTTCAATGACCCTTTTCTTTGTGCCTTTTAACAACGAATCTGTTTGGTTTATTTTGTAGGTTGGAGTGAACTAAAAGAAAGAAAGCCACGCACTTTTCCTTGTTTGGTACAAAAGGGTTCCCAGTTTTTATTTGGATTCTATAACTATTTAAACTGTGACTCAGAGTTGAAACAGAATAACTTCATTGATATGGGACCTAAGGTTTTGCAATTGTCGCAACCCGTTCTTCCTCATTCTCCTTCATCTCAAACTCTGGCCTCTGCGATTTCTTCTCCTTCTTCCAAACCTCGAACACGCAACCACAATGGAGTCTGCAGATTCGCGCACCGTTCGAGCCTCTTCCCAAACACACACCTTCTTCGCAGGTCAAAATCGTTCGATCATTACCCTGTTTTCACTCGCAGGGGAAGCATAAGAAGGGCTTGCAGCGCAAGCTTGGAGCCTTTTTCCGACGAAGAATTCGCCAAGAAGATCGAAGATTTGGCGCTTAAGTTTCAGCTTTCCGATGATAGTAATGGGAACGATTTAGATTCTGAAGTTTTTCCTTCTTCTGGTGAAGAGCTTTCCTCTTCTTCTTCGGCCGTGAATTTTGTGGAGGAGTTTGAGCCGCCGGAGGAGATTATTCCGGCGAATATTGAACGGAAAGCGAATAGCGTGGAGCTACCCTTTTCGTTGAGGATCATAAAGAAGAAGTTGCAGTGGAAAGAAGGGTTCAGAGAGGCAGGGGAATCAGCATATTGCTCTGTTAAGAAAGCTTTCTCTTCTATGGTGTTCATCATAAGTGAACTTCACAGTTACACTTTACAAATGAGGGAGATTCTGTTCTACGAAGATCTACAGGGGATTCTCCAAAGGGTTCAGAGGGAAATGCACGCTTCCTTCGTTTGGCTCTTTCAACAAGTTTTCTCTCACACCCCAACCCTCATGGTTTATGTAATGATCTTGCTCGCAAACTTCACTGTCCATTCAATGGGTCACAACGCCGCCATCGCCGCCGTCACGCCGCCGGTGGAGGTTTCTTCCGTCGTGGAAGGTCAAGACTGGGAGAGTCACAAGTTTGATTCCGCTGTTATTAAGACCTTCTCTGTTTCTAACTCCAACGGAAAAAACACTGCCTCCGTCGGTGGCGGCAATGGTGGCGGCGGGAAGTTCCGACCAGCGGCGAATGGCACCGATGGCGACGGCCGGTTTGACGGGTCGGACCGGTCGCCGCACGCTACGGTGTTCCCCGACGGTGGTGCGTCTTCTCAGGTTTGCAAAACAGGGGAAACAGAGTCGGTGTCAGGGCAAGAGGAGGAAGAAGCGAAGCTGTGGAAATCTATGGTGGATGAAGCTTCGATTATGGAGGTGAATCGGCGAGGAGAGGGTTTGGATCGGGATGTTATGAAAGGGTTTGTTTCGCCGGTGATGGCGAGGATTGAATCTGATGATTATGCAGAGTATTTGAGAACAGAGCTTGTTTACCAAACAGGGTTGTCTCAGGATCCTAGGAACACTCTTCTTCTTGCCAACTATGCACAGTTTCTCTACCTCGTTGCACACGATTATGACAGGTACGTGCTTACGAGACATGTTTTACTTTTTTTTTTTTTTTGTTTAACTTTAAATTTCATTGCTTTACTCGTGTTTGTTTTTAGTTGAGGTTGCATTGAAATATTTTTATCTTCTTGCACCTTATACCTTATGCTCATGGTTAAAATAAATTTTACTTGATTTAGCAATTTTAAAACGAGAAAATGTCTAAAAGGAGAAAAGGAGGAATTAATTATCATTCATTTAGCATTGATTAATTTTATAAAATATTTTAATTTAAATTAATGATAACTAATAATTTACTTTATATATCTTTTCAACGGAAAAATGCATATTTTTTCCTCTTCCATCTAAAGAAAAACATCTTATAATGTTTCCTTTATTTTTAAGGAGTATTTTGAGATATCTTTATATAATAAATAAAAGATTTTGCTTATATTAGTTTTTAGAGTTAAGTTATCTAGGGAGGTTGGGTTTGAAATGATAAAACAAAACGGGTTTTTGTCGAATTGAATATTGATAGCCAAGTATGTGGTGTAGTTTGCCTACACCACTGGTTCATGAGCAAGATCTATCGTCTTTCGCACGTGACATGCAAGTGCAGGAAAAGAAAGATTTGACACGTAACCTAGTTGACTTTTACTTTTTGACGTATAATAAGTTGAAAATTACAAGTGACGGTAAGATAAAGTATAATAATAATAATGAAGAAGATGTTTTAAAGTAATTAAATTGAGTTGCTTGCAATTGCAATATGCATGTGAAAGGTGGTTGTGTTATTGACAAATTTGACTGAACACAGAGCTGAAGAGTACTTCAAGAGAGCGATAGAAGTGGAGCCACCAGACGCAGAAGCTTATAATAAATACGCCACTTTTCTATGGAAAGTGAAAAATGACTTATGGGCTGCGGAAGAAACCTATTTGGAAGCCATTTCAGCTGAACCTAATAACTCCTATTATGCTGCTAACTATGCTCATTTCCTATGGAACACCGGTGGTGAAGACACTTGCTTCCCTTTATCTTCCCCAGATAACTCCCAAGAACTTTAAATTTAATCAACAAATATAGAGATCAAAAGAAAGGATCAAAAACAAAAAAGAGGAAATTTTGTAGCTTATATCTTTCTTTCTTTCTTTTTTTGTTTATGTTCTAAATTTTTTTATTGGGGTGGATGAGGTGAGGAGCGATTAAGGAGATGGAATAATGATCATTGTATCCTTTTGTAATTATAATTGTACATAAGTCTTACAATCGCTACTTCTTAGTTATGAATAGTTATTTGAGCAAATAATTCATTATTCTTAACTTTATTTTTACATAATGATCATGTAGATAGAAATTGAAGTGAACAATTATACAAAGGGTGTAACGTATAAAACTATGTAGTATTGGCAACAAACGGCAATGCGTTTTACTTTGAGATGATATTTTGAGTTTGAATGGGGAAATGGACCAATGACTTGTTGTCATGAGTCAACACGGCAAGTTCGGGATGCAGGATTTGCTTTTGCACATATGATCATGATCCCATATATTTTTTCTTTCCTTTTTCGTTTGTTTCACATGGCAAACGTAGTTAATATTTTTGGTTTATAAAAAAAAATAAAAATGCTTTATGAATTGGTGATGAGAGGGTCATGAATGTGATTCACGTGGGATATTCCCATGAAGATACCTTTTTTCACCTATTGCTTTTATTATTATTGAAGCGATGATTTCATTTGCTTATGTAAGCAATGTTGTTGGATTCTCGACAATTCTCAGTGGCTGCAATCAGCGATTCTTTCTTTTGCTCAGAGAATCATTGGCGATGAAGAAACCAGAAAAGCATATATGGTGAACGAGTTCCTGTAAAACGAAGGAAGGGATTTTTTTTAGGCTTATTTTCAATTTAGCTGTGATTTCCTTTTCTTCTTCTAATTAATATGATATTGCGAGATGAATCGATTTCTTTCTTTTCTACTTTGCTTTTATTGCTTTCTTGTATTTTCCAATTAACATATTGTCGTGTTGATACTTTTTCTATCCCTATTTTAAAAACAAGGAAGAAAGGGACGAAAGTTAAGCTAATGCATAAAAAATTGGGAAAGACCGTGGAAATATTAATATTATAAAAAGCAGATTCGAATTTTCTATAATCATATATGATTTATACTATACTTTCATTTTTGTTTTGTTGTCAATTTAAGAAATGTTATGATTGCATGCTAGAATGATACTGAAATAAAGACATAACTATAATCAAATTTTTTGATTTCTTTTCTATTATAAATGATATTTATACGAAGAAAGATTTTTTCACAAAATTTTAAAGATTTTATATTAAATCTGAACTTTTTATTTAACTTATATTTAACCGTTAATAAAGTAATAAATTATAACATATTAAATGTAAGTTAAATAAAAAATTTAAATTGAGATTAAGAATTTTTAGACTATATATTAATGTAAAAAGATTATATATATTCATATTTTACACTATTTACATATACTTCACATCCATTCACTACTCCATCTTATATTATATTTTGTTAAAATTTGAAACACATTGAATTTGTTTATAATTTTTATTCTTTGAATATGCTTTTGTGGACGTATACTTATTGTTTATTTCAATACATAAGAATGCCGAAATTTACTCAATTGAAAGAAAATTGTGTTTGATATTAAGAAAAAGGGATAAAACATTGGTATGGGGTAAGATCTTGAACAATAGATGAATTATTGAGGGCTTTTGATCTTGCCTATGAGATGCATTGATTATGGAATGGGTTTTGCACTATTAAGATAAAGTATTTAAGTGAAGCCAAGCAGAAAGTGACGGTATTTTCACGTGAAGTAGTAGTAGTTGGTAGGGGTTATTAGGTATGAGGTTCAGCTTATTCACCCTTTTTTCCATCCATCACCCCATTACTCTTCTCTTTAAATTGTCCATGCCTGTTTTTCTTTTTCAATAAAATACAAAAGAAGAACAAAACTATTTTATCTTTTCTATTCCTATCATTATTCACTCTTTTATTTTGCTTGTATACATAGAAACAGATCCATCATATATATGGAAAAGAGGAGATCAAATTGAAGTGCAGGTAAATAAATATATTCACCCCTTTTCATTTTAACTAAAATTAATCTCAGATACCAAATGTTTGGATTTGAATATTTTTGGAAGAAAAGTTGCTTACCACTTAAAGATTTTTTATTGATATATAATTGAAGTTTTTTACCAACCTTTTGAAAGAGGGTCTATTGCAATTTTTATATATCTATATTCACTTTTATTTTAAAAGAATTATGTAAAAATAGTTTTGTTATTGAGTCGTATTGCAATTCATTTGTCTTTTGACTGTGAATGTGGCTTGCCATATTTGGCATTAATGAAGAAAGGAACATCCAATTTGCAAAGTTGACAAAGGCAATGGGCCCTGAAGTGAAACAAGAACACCTCCTACTATTCCAATTTGTTCATCACTTCATTATATCTCCAATGAATCTTTTCTTGTGGATCAAAATAAAAAATATCTCATTACTTTTACACACAATTTGCTCAGTGCCACAAAGTTCAAAGGGTTGGGCCCTGCAGTGAGACAACACCCGCCCCCCTTTTCCCAAATTCAGATTTTTCTATGCTATTCTTTCTATTTCTATCCTTTTTTATTATAAATTTTAAAATTTATTTCACAAAGTGTTTGATTTATGTTTAAAATTTAGCTTTTAAAATGTATAAATTTATTTCTAAAACTGAAAATTTGAAAATAATAATGATCAAACTTTTAAAATTATTTTAAAAGTTACATTTAGGATGATTTTTAATTATTTGACAAAATAATAAAAATATATTGAAAATGACAACAATAATTCTTTATTTCACTGGATGGAGTTATTATATGAATCTCATCATTAGATTCGATAAAAACTAAATTTTTAAATATATTATTTACCGTAAGATATCTTTTAATAAATTTTTAGGTTCTTTTTTTATTTTTTTACATATTAATAATATGTAAAAGTAAATTATAGTTAAAATGAATGATTAAGAATAGCAATGAATAAAATAATTTTGATCATTTAAGTGTGTGGAACAACACCATAATATTTCAATAGTTAATTTAAAAATCAAACTTAAAACACTTTCTAATTAAGTAATAATGTAAAAATTTATACTATGATAATGTATCAAGATTAAGATCTAATTAAAATTAATGGTCAAAATTAGACCATTTCATGAATAATTGTTTGTTATTTCAATTTTTTTGTCAATTTTTTAAATAAAAAAATATAAAGTTAAACTATTTAATAAATTTTATTATTTTTGAACCAATAATAGGTCAATTAAAAAATTATTCACAATGATTACCAATATTATAGAATGAAAAAAGATAGACATATATTTAAAGTATTTAAGGACAATCCGTCCAATAAAAATATGAAAAAATTACATAAAATATAACTTAAATAAGTGTTTTTTTTTATTATGTGCTTATCCAAAACAACAAACTAAAAAAATAAAACTAATACACATTTAATAAAAAAAATAAAATTAATGAGGGTATTGGAGCAAGAATTATATATTAAAGTAATATCGTATCATGCATCCATGACAAGAACACCACACTAACTTCTTGACAAAAGCAAATGAAAGATGGGAGAAAAAAGAAAAGAATATAAGGGTATTAATAGTAGTTTATGGTTTTTGGTAACCCTTTGGTTTTATTAAATCTCTTCAAAATATAAAGAAATTTTCATGACATAAATTTCTTCTGTTATGCCATTAGCGTGTAAATAAAAAAAATTAAGAAATAAAAATTGTGACATAAATAGACCAACAGACTTGATACAAACATTTTAATGAAACGGTTTGCCTACTTGTTCAAATTCACAATTCATAGGTATTCTGTAAGACAAATATACTACCTAACAATCAAGAAATAAGTGCTTAAAAAAAAATAATGCAGACTTATATAAAGAAAAATAATAAATATAAAATATTAAATTAATATCAAAATTTAACGTTGTTAACCAATTACAAGATATTATAACTATAATTTTAAAGTAATTATTATAATTTTTTATAAAAATTAATAAATTTTAAAATGATATAATTAGTTGTGTAAAAAATCAATTATATTATCAATAGATTTTAATTAAACTCTTTTACTCTTTAGTATGGCCTCTATGATTGTCTTTTTTTCATAAGATAAGTGTGTAAAGAATTAGGTATAAATAAAGGCATAATTAAAAAGATAATAATTAATATCACCTAATACTTCTAAATAAACAAGTAATTAAAAATATTTTAAAAAATGAACAAATAAAAAAAAAAAGTTATGTATACATGTAAAAGCAATTCACAAGTTTTATTATTAAACCTATAAAATTTGAATTTTGATAGTGTAAATTCACAAGTAACTATTTTTTTTAAAAAAGGAACAAATAAAAAAAGTATGCATAAATGTAAAACTAATTCACAAGTATTATTATTAAACCTATAAAATAAAATTTGAATTTTGATAGTGTAATTTTTTTTTATTATCATATAGTTATATATTGTCATATATTAATAAAAAATATTAACATTTATAATGATTAATTTAAAATTCATATTTATCACATCTTTTAATTAATTAGTTAATTAATAATATAAAAAATTATTTATTTCATAAATTTGTATATCATATAGTAAAAATTTGGTATATTGCATGTAATGTTTAAAGAAAAAAATGTATGAAATTTTTTATAGTCTTTAATGATTTTAAATATATAATAATGGCTTTCAATGGAAAATTAACTCAAATTTATGTCAATATGGCCATTAATTAGTCCATTATGACTATTAAGTTACATTTTAATATCAATTACATATAACAATAATAAAATATTCAACAACTCTTTTACAAGAGAAATTTATAGAAAATTCAAAAATGAATTTAGAATTAAAATACATTATTAATGAAATAATAACACCCACTGATTCCTCCTCACTCATTACATTTTGCCCAAAAGGAAGTTCAGGAGTTACAAACATCACTGATTCCAAGCCGTTGGATATATATATAACTCAATCAATGGCTGCTAATCCATGTATCATAGAATAATCTTCATTTAGCCACCAATTTTTCCTCATAAACAACCTATAAGCTAGGCCTTACCATTAACCAATTAAGTTCTTTCCCTTTTGATTTTGGTCCTCATTAAGCATCTTTCATGAAAGGCATTGGAGGTAAAGGTGTTGGTGGAAATGCTATTACTCACCTTCATGTGTGTGGGAATATTAAGGTCACTAACCCTTCTATGTGTCGTTCAGGTCCTCCTTTGACAGCCATAGATAGGTTCTTATGGGGCCAACAAAGCCATTCCCCTCAGAAGCAAAAGCCACAGAACATTGCAAGCAATGGCCATGCAAGTGTTTTTGATGGTTTTGCTTGTTCAGGTGGCTCAACCAACAAGTGTCTCTGGCCTAACATTTCTCAAGAAGCCAACTTTATTGACCAGATTTTAGCAAATGAAGTGGCTCTGAATTGGACACAACACATCCCCACATTGTGTGTGAAAGAAGATGTGCAAGTTTTAGGAAAGAATGCCAAAGTGGCTGCACGTAGGCCTAAGAAAGGGTCCTCTGTGCCTTTGATTAAGGGACAATGGGCTGTTGAAGAAGACAGGTAGAGTAATGAGAATAACACATTGTGATATATAAAAAATTATATTTTTTATTTTATTTTGTGTGTGTATATATATATTTGCACTAAAAAATTTTATTTGATATATAATAAAAGGAAACTGTTAAAGTTGATAAAGCAACATGGTGTAAGAAAATGGTCTCAAATAGCTGAGAAGTTGGAAGGAAGGGCTGGCAAGCAGTGTCGAGAGAGATGGCATAATCATTTGCGGCCTGATATTAAGGTCAGTTTCTCGTTTAATCCTTCTGCACTTTGATGCCATGCTTTTATTTTTTTAATTATATAGTTTCATCTTAAAAAAGAAAAAAGGAAAAAATAACCTATGCCCTAGGGTTTTATTTGAAATATATACATGTTTTCTTAATTACGGAACATCGAGATATAGATTCAGATTAATCTTCGAGGATCTATTTGGTATATATTTGTATAGGCTGATCATATACTTCCTATATTTCCTTTCTATATCTCTCTCAAGAATGTAAATTTAGGTTAAACACAAAAACTAGGTGATATCACACTTCCTTAAATAACCATTCATATATTTCGTATTTTAGCGTTCAGATCATGTTTCATGTTACGTTTTCTTATATCATTGCTAAAATCACGTTAGGATTAATTATCAGATTATTACTAAAAAGGTTTCCTTAATTTTTTCCTGATAACCTTAACTAGGCTTTCTTCTATTAGTCGCTTGATTAGTGTTTTACAAATGAATTAATACAGTATCAAGAAGTACGTGCAATTAACAATTCCTTGTTTGTTATTTCATAAATTTATGGAAATTGCGTTTTATTGCCACTTAATTTGAATCGAAAAGAAATGTAGATTGCTATAATTTTTCCTTGGGTATATAACATATATGTGGCAGAAAGATAGTTGGAGTGAAGAAGAAGAGAGAATATTGGTAGAAACTCATTCCAAAATTGGAAACCGTTGGGCAGAGATTGCAAAGCGCATTCCAGGAAGAACAGAAAATGCAATAAAGAACCATTGGAATGCAACAAAAAGGAGGCAAAATTCAAAGAGAAAGAACAAAAGGCCAGCAACCTCAAATGGAAAGCCACAATCCTCTATACTCCAAGACTACATAAAAAGCTTGACTCTCACCAACACAACACCTACCACTCCTTTTGAGGACCCTATTGCAGCCCAACAACATCTTGTTTCCCCTCAACTCTCTGATTCTGTTACCAATGACAATTCCTCATCACCACTAATAGCTGAATCATATGATGATGAGTTGCTTTTCATGCAACAACTTTTCAAGGACAATTTCATTGTTGAATCTATTAATATTAAGCACTCAAAGAACAATAACTCTTCAACCTCCTTGGCTTGTTATAACCAAAGTAATGGTGATCAGCTTCTCACTGATGTCAATGAATGTGGATTTATTCATTCCAACCCAAACACGAACTCACATAACATGTTTTTTGATGAGAATCTCATTATCCCTAGAAAGACTCATCCTACCCCTACCAACTACCTTGATTCTGATGCCTATCTCTCTCACTTGCTGAATGGAACTGCAGCTTCATCACTTTGCTATAATTATGGGATTGAAAACCATAATATGGACTTGGATGTTGGAGAACAAGGTTGTTTAGAGGGAAAGAGAGAGATCGATTTGATAGAGTTGGTTTGTTCAGCTCAGCTTCTCCATTAGCAGCTTCGTAATTTAGGATGTTTTAATCATGACTCTAGTTGTGACTTTGGAATAACTATGCTGATCCTATACACGGGATTAGGATCTGCATTCTCGATCTTTTTCTCTGTTTAGATTGTGTCTCACGTTTTAAATAAATCAAATTTTTTATCGTATGCTCTTTTTTCCTTAACTGCGCCATGGTTGAACTCTAGAGACTATATCAAAATCTCAGTGTAATATGTTAGGGTTTTGCATGCCCAACCCTAATTTTTTCACAAACTAAAATTTCATATAAGTTTATTTGAAATCTCAAAATATGTTCAAAATGAGTACTATGATTATTTTTAAGTTTTTTTTTAAATACATTTGTTTAAAAACATTTCAAAAAATTAGAAGAAACAAAAATACTCTTTTAAAATGTAAAGTTATACACCTAATTCTTGCATCCTACCCCTGTACTTGTGTTATAAGGCTTGACAAAACAGTTCAACGAGTTCAATTTGATGAAGTTAATTAAATTAATTTGCTATTTTTCAAAGACAAATTGAAAGTTTTAAACTCGTTAATCCACTTAAAAATAGCGTTAAGCAATTGAGGACAGATTGAACTATCAAATTAAAGTTTTAAAAATATACAATTAAAATTAATTTTTTTTAATATAACTTACTTATACATATAATTTAGTAAATATTAATATTAATTATTTATTTAAATTAAAATTTAACTATGTATATTATATATATATATATATATATATATATATATATATAATATGAGTTAAACTCAACTTTTTTTATTTTAATATAAAGAGCTAATAAGCCCAACAACAACAAATCTAATAGCTTCAAGATTTAAGTGAAAAAAGCAAAAGGAAGAGAGCCACTTCAAAATGACGCAAATACAAAGATATTCTTAGAGGTTAAATTTAGCTGACCTATTAGCAGCTAGTTTATCTAAATACATGTATAATTCTAATGAAAATAGAGACAACTCAACCTATTTTTTTATAGGTTGAAAATAGAGATAACTTATTTTGCTTTTCTTACGTGTGATTTTGTAGTGATATAAAAATATATTTAATATTTTATGTCCAAAAAAGAATAAAACATCCTTAAAAAAAACATATATTCAAACATTCATCTTATAAAACAAATACAAAACCGAGAGAGAGAAAAGTACGATTAAATAAATAAAGAGACAGAACGAGATAAAAATAATTATACAAATTTATTGTAAAGTTATAAATTCTCGCTAGCTAACATGATATTACTTTATCGAGTTTGTCACTGAACTGTGGAGTGTCATTATGTATATATTCATTTCACGTTTAATAAGTATTTTCTTGAAAGGGTGTTTATGGATAAAATTATCCTTTAAGATGAAATAAATTGTAAAAAATAAAAAGGGTATCAATGAATATCGAATCTTCTTATTTATTGTATAAACAATGGGTAATTATCATTTTATTTTTGTTATTAAGGCTATACTAAAATGTTTGGAAATTTTTCTTTTATTGCTGTCTTTTTGGTTACTTGCTATGTGGTCTGTGCCTACAAAACATCGAAATGCTTGAAGTAAATGAATTGATGATTATATGGATCATTTTCAGGCCAATGCTTTCAATTATTCTTTACATTAACAAATCGTATAATGACGATTAATTACGGCAAGCAAGACATAAACTTGACTAGGCTTTGAATCTTGAATTTAGAAAATTCTCACGTGTGACTCCCCAATGACTTGAAGAAATTTAGAGTCACATGATGATTATTCAATTTTTTTAAAAAAATTAAAAAATATTAGTTAACTTTAATTTATAATTTTTTTTATCATATTACTATTTTATTTTATTTTTGCTAATAATTACTATTTTATTTTTTACTCTTATAAATAATGCGTATGGAGAATTTTATTCAAAATGAGAAAAAAAACAATTTTAAGATATAAAAATGCTATTTACTAATTTGAGAATAATGTTTTTTCTACGGTGGTGTCTTTGATTTTTATTTTTACATCATCTGTGTTACGTTAGTTTTTTTTTTTTTTTTTGGGTAAATTGTGCCTAGACCAAAAAAGTGATGCCTTTATGTTATGCCACTTGGGTTAACAAAACACTTGAAACAATTGCAGAGTTTGGGGGTCTACACCACATGGCAACATTTGGAAAGTCGATTATTTGTCAAAATAATTGTTTATTTATTTTGAGTGTTTCTCAAAGAGTAATATCACATCATGAATAAAATCATTTTCTGAAAATTACAAGTGGCCAAAAAGAAAAATTCAAGTATTCGATTCAAGGATATTTCTTTTTTCATGGGAAAAAATTTAAATATCAAAATATGAAATTTTTTAAAAAATTACAAGAATATAAAAAGTTCTAAAAAATTTGCAAACAAAATACTTGTAGATTATTTTTTTTACATATGATATTTAGAAATTATATATGCTGAATTATGATGTTTTTTAAAATCTTACAGAAATATAAGATTTAAAAATTATCAATAGCAATTTTTTATGTAAGTACAAAGTTTAAAGATAAAAAATAAAAAAAGTCATAAAGTCTCAAAAATTATTAATGGAAATTTTTTAAAAATATATTAAACAATTTTAAAAAAATTAAAAGTCACAATTGACAGTTTTTAAAATAATAATAAAACATTTAAAACATATAAAAAAATAGGTCAAAAGTTGCTAACAATGATTTTAAAAAATATATATTTTTATAATTTTGTCAAAAAAATCTCTATTTCTGTAATTTAAAAAAAAAACCATATAGAAAAAGCCATTTTTGGTAGTTTAAATTATTATTATTTTTAAAAAAAAATTAACATTGACAATTTTTTATTTTAAATTTTCTAAATTTTTGGAAAAATCATGGGAAATTTTTTAAACTCTAATTTGTTTAAATATTTTTTAATTGTTCCATATCTGAATCTAAGTACTTGCACCTTTGAATTTTCATATTTTCATTACTCTTCCAAAAATCCCATATTTCGGTATATATTATTTTTAAATGTCATATAAAAATAATAATAAAAACCTACATTCAGTGTCATAATTCCTGTTTCTAATACAAATATAACTACATACAAATTAAATAACACATAAACACAATGTTTTTATTCTTCAACAGGAACAGTCTTGCCAGCTTAGCAATTCTGCTTCCAAGTTCCAATACTAATGCAAGCAAAACTTTATAGTTGACACTTCTTGCAGGCGTATCACATACTTTTTCGACCTTTGAAGCTATATTAAGCATTGAATTTGCAAAGCTTAAAAAAAAACCTATATAATTATAACAAATGTATTAATTCTCACACCTCATTGCTTATTACTAGGATCTTCTGCTATCATGATATTTTGGCTCTTGCAAAGAGTACACCAGCCAAAAGACCTGAAAATAGGTGCATTATACAAGATTAAAAGGAAGATGATAATTTCCAAAACGAAATGTAGAGTGGTTGTGATGAATTACCAAACAAAATGCTGAATAAATTTGATACACTGAGATGAACTTTGAACACTAAAATGCCAGCGATAGAGATCGGAATCTTGTTTAAGGAACCAACAAGACTGTAAAACAGACACAAAAAACTCATGAGACATTGATGGATGGAAAAAGAACTCAAAACAGATAGTAAATATCTGAAAGAATCAACTTTTAGGGTGCGTTTGAGAACGTGTTAATTAAGCCATTCAATAATCTCTTTTTATATGAGGGCTTATCCCATAATTTGACCATAAAATTTCTTGGGGTAAGCTGAAAAATGTTTATTCTGGTAAGTTACAGTGAGAAGCTTATAGGCTGAAAACAGCTTATGGAAGCTATAAACTATTTCCATAAGCTCCTTATAAGCTCTTCAAAACGTACCCTTAGTTGAATACAAGAATGTTTAGGATGTTCACTATAAACTATGGTATCTTTTCTTGTCCCAAGATTTTATCCACAAGAAAACACATTGCTGTGACTTCAAACAAAACCATCCCTCCATTGATTTGTATTGAATTTCAACTGCATCAAATTACCTATATGTTGTTGGGCCAGTTTGATGTAAAAACCACATTGAGGTAAAGCTGATGGAAAGTCCAAGTAGTCCACTAGCTGTTGCAATCACCCAAAACATTGGCAGTTTAACCACGTCGCTGGAAATCAAAGTGAAAATAATTGTGAGGATGCAGAAGAGCTAGTTGAATTTTAAAACAAAGAAACATATTCACTCACGCATGTATTACATAATCCCATTCGCCAAAAAGGAAAATCATGATGATGGCAAAAGGTAAAGAAAGTAGATTGTTCAGCAACACCATTGACACTTCATTAAGAGATCCAGATTTTGTTGACTTCTTAGCTTCATCCATAACCCACCTAAGGGTAAGCTGTCTCAAAAAGGAAAACGTTTCATCAAAGATTAAGATTAAACATAACGGGAATTTGTTCCAAAAAAGGTTCTTATTCTCAAACTTCTCAATCTTAGCATCAAACAAGAAGTCTGTTACAAAATAACAATAACAACAACATGAATTACACGACATTGTTGAGCTCGGTCAAAAGGAAAATTCTCCCAGATATTATTTACCATAAGTCTGTTACAGAATACAGAAAGAAAACCAGAGCTAAATATACATACTGAATAACTTGCAGTAAGAACACAATTGATAAGCTGCCAGGCATAACCAACTGAATCATATGAGAGATCTGTAATACCACCACTGACAGCAGAGATAATCTGTATGAAGTATGAATAAAGAGGGTAAAAAAAGACTTCAAAAACTTATATACTAACACTTCAGAAAGAGTAATAACTATTAAGACCATCAGCATGTTGGTAAATAAATTAGATTGTTGAAGATTTTTTATAGGAAGACACAAAATTTGATGAATAAATCAGACTACCAGCATTTTCTTTTCTGTGATTTCTAAGAGGATGAAACAGCAAACTTCATTCTCCAACTATTCTGACCCTTAAATGTCAGAACAAAGCAATGTTTCACAAACATTGTATTATCAAGGACTAGGA